GAACAAAACACTGTCAACATCAACGACCAGCCCTGAAAGCATCAAAGTCGGAGAATATCGCGAAGAAAGCACTACATGGATGGATAAAACTCTCGAAGTCGAAGGACGAAGCTTATTATTATAAGAGTTGAGTTGGGTGTTATCTGGGTGATCATCGATAGGTTAAACCAATCTGCCCATTTCCTGCTAATATAGAAATCAAACAAGACGGAAAGATTAGCTTGGATCTATATCAAGGAGATCGTGAGACTCCATGAAATATCGGTATATACTATCTTGGATCGAGATAACGGGATTACTTCAAGACTTTGACAATCATTTCAGAAGGCTGTGGGAACATAGCTAGATATGAGCGTTTCTTACCACCCTCAAACCCATAGCCAAAGCGAACGGACCATTCAACCACTCGAAGTCATGCTCCGAGCCTGGATGTTTGAATTCAGCAAGTCATGGGATACCCGGTTGCCCTTGATTGAATTCTCACGCAATAACAGCTATCGCAAGAGCATCAAGGATGCTCTTTTCGAGGCTCTTTATGGTCATAAATGCAGATCACTCGCTAGTACTCTCACGGCACCAGAAACCATTCGCGAAACGACAGAGAAGATAATCCAAATCAGAACTCGAATTCAAGCATCACAAGATACACAGTAGAGTTATGCTGACAAATGATGAAAACCTCTGGAAATCCAAGTCGGAGGCCGAGTACTATTGAAAGTCTTTCCCTGGGAAAGGAATGATTCGCGTTAGGAAATGGTGAAAACTGAACCCACGATACATCGGACCGTTCGGGATTCTTGCCCAAATTGGTCTGGTAGCCTATAAGCTACAGCTACCTGCCAAACTCAGCAACATACACCCCGTGTTCAGCGTCTCGAATCTGAAAAGGTGCCTATCAGATGAGGACTCTGTCATTCCTTTGGAAGAGATCGAGATAAACAAGAATCTTCTGTTCATCAAAGAACCGGTCGAAATTATGGACAGGGGTGCGAAGCAGAGCCGCATTCCAATTGTGAAGGTTCGATGGAACGCCAAGCGCGGACCGGAATTCACATGGGAACACGAAGGCCATATGAAGCAGAAGTACCCTCACCTATTCTCTCATTCATGAACCTATATTTCGAAAGAATTTCGGGACGAAATTCCCTCTAACGGGGGGATGATGTCACAACTGGCATTTTTGCTAAGAAATTCTACTCACATGTAATCGTTCACCTAGTATAGAAGCCTGTACTCTAAGTGAATACTATACTCTATTCTCGTTCAAATACATCCCATATGTTCAAATAAGGGTTGGAAACCCTAGAAACCCCGGCTCAAGTTCATTATGGACTAGGATTCTCTAATTGGGCTCTAAATGAACCCACATTCATAAAACTTAACATTTTGGGCCATAATGAGCTTAAAATGGATTAGTTTACCCTAATGGGCCTTATTGGACCATAACAACTCCAATTAACCCTAATGGACCTAAAACCCATTCATTTTACCATTTTGTGCCGTGAAACTATAATCAAGGCCCAATGGGCCGAAAATCTCATTGTTTATACCCTTTTGGGCCATAAACTCTCAAATGGACCCACAAAAATCGAAAATTCCTAATGGGCCCATGTAATTTAAGCCCAACATAAAAACAAAAAAAAAGGATGGAATAATGTGATGAAGACACCTCATCTTTAACTAGAGGTTCTCCATGTGAAATACATTACATACTTCCATGACTAGGTCCTAAACCCACCATGTAATGACCATTCTTCTCACTCTATTTCTTCCTTCTTACTCTCGGCCACTTCTTCCTCTCCACCCACATTCACAATTTCCTCTCCAACACAAATTCTCCCAACAACTCAAGGATTCTCTCTTCTTCTTCTTCTTCTTCAAAAAAATTTGTGGGCTTGTAAGAGTGTTTTTCAAGAAGTTCTCTTCAAGCTTTCATAACTTGGTAAGTACTCTTGTTAATCTTAAAGATTATCACATCTTTCAAGCTAAAACTCTTGTTTACATCCTTTGATTGTGTTAAAAACTCTTAGATCTACCACAATTTCGAGATTATCTCAAAGAACTCAAGCTAGGTTCAAAGATTCTTCTTCTTCTTCATCTACATCTCAAAAACCCCCAAGGTGAGTTCATACCCCCCCCTATTTTCGATTTTTACTTGGTTTTGGGGGAGAATACAAGTTGCTTTATGTAGATCTATGTGTATATGCATGAATATGTGTGTTTTTCATGACTTATTTGGTGATTATGTGCTATTTACTTCATAAATCTAAAAATATGTTAAGAATATTAAGTTTATCACTTGGATCTACATGAAAACCTTGAGAAAAGTATGTGTTATCACATATAATACATGTAAACTAGTAGATCTGGGATTTATACACTTAAAATAGTAAAAATGAGTGTTGTGTTCAAAGATCTATAAACTAAACTCAAAAATCAGCCCTTCACAGAAAAGCTTTGGTCCAATCTCGAACTGTTTTGACCACCTAAATGATAATACTTTTCAAAACTGTTTTACATGCAAAAGGTTCAGGTTTATACCTTTAAAATGACTACCCTCACGTTTTCATATCTACAATTTTTGGCGAATTTTACAAAACTGCCTATCAGATTTGAAATAATTTCGGACCAGTCTGTGAAGGTGAGCAATTTCACACTTGTTAGATGCCATTAAAAATTATTAGAAACATTGTGAACAAAGTAGACAAAATTTACAAACTTCCAGAATTTACGGATCCAAATTTCAACTTACGATGATTTTTCTAAAATTTTCCAACAACTAGGTCAGAAAAGCCAAAAACCAGAAAAATGTGTGTTTTCACAAAAATCAAGCCAAAAATGATACTTTCGACAAAAATGGGTTTAAAATGTTATTTTTACCACAAACTAGTCATAAACACAAGTTTTGAACAAAATGGGGACTAAAGTGTTATTTTTACAGAAATTGGGCCTTAATTGTCAATTTTTGGCTTATTGGGCCAAGAACGTCATTTTTACAAAAAGTGGGCCTTTTATGCTATTTTAGTGAATACTTGAACCAAAACCAACAATAAACTAACAAACGGATTAATTTTGATAATTTCTAGGTTATTGGGCCTTAGTGGCCCATTTATATGTTTGATAGATTTTGGATACTATTTGTGTGCTATTTGGGCCTGTAAATACCTTACATGTGAAATGGGCCTTAGTTGTCCTTTTACATATATTTCGGGCCCATGTTATATGGAATCTCATTCCTATTAGGCCTTTAAATGACTCACATGTTTAGCGATGCCCTAGTGGCTCACTTACATGGTTCGTTGGGCCTGGAATGAGTTTTATACGTTTATCTTCACGTAAATTCGATTAAGGATCTAGTGAGTTTTTGTCGGTTGACACCTATTAAGTGTTCGATCGTAGCTTGTAGTTATAATCAGAGTCTCTTTGAGGGAGAGCGGGGTTTTGTGTATAGATCTATACGGGGGTGACACTCCACACCTGAGCTGTTCGCTACAGTTAGACTACATCGGTCTAGGGTGACTATAACCTTATTCTATTTTTCAGTCGGCGTTCACAAACGCCAAGACAGGTGAAATTGTCATTATTTAGTATGGTTATAACGGCTCACTTAGAGGAATTAACGTTATGAAGTTTGCGGAAGACTATTTTCTTTTATGTTGGATTACTAGGAAACTTATTCACACAGGTACCCTACCTCGGTGTTGGTACGTCATCATTATCTATTTTCTTTTATGATTGGATTACTCGGTAACTTACTCACACTGGTACCCCACCTCGGTGTTGGTACGACAGCATTAACTATTCTTCTTTTACGGGCAACATCGGGTTGTCCGGGGACATTCTATATACATTCTCTTCAATCACTTTTGACATTCTATTAAACAATAACACACATGCATTAATACAAGATCAGACATAAACATACCAAACTATTTTAAGAAAATACAGGATTTTCTTGTGATTACAAAGTTAAACAAATCATTTTCTCAAATATACTTATGAACTCACCAACATTATATATGTTGACGTTTTCAAAATAACTTGTATTCTCAGGGACTCGTTAAGCAGAAGAATCAACAAGAATAGGGGATTTTGTTTTGTGTACTGTCAAACATCATACATTGAATGTTTTGGTCATGTTATTTAAAAGATTGTACTTGATGTAAACAATGACAGTTGTATTATATTATGCATGGTAATGATGATGTTATGTTTCATTTATATTCACTGTAATGATATTTCAAGATGAAGTCACGCACAAGCCCCCAGACGTTTCCGCCGTCTGGTTCGGGGGTGTGACATAAGGGCAAGGGCCCAGCTTGATGGCGCATCATGCACTCTCCAGTATTTTCGCACTTATTCTTTTGGATACTCTGATCTTTTGGACATGAGTTTATGTAATGGAATTTTGGAAAAAACAAATATGGTTGTAATTTCTAATTATTAAATGAAAATTTGTATATGAATTTTCGGGGTGTTACACAACATCTCTTACCACTTGTCTTATAGGAACAAGGGGGACCTTCTTTCATTGACCTACATATTTCTTTACCAAGAAAAAATCTCTACATTCTAACTTTCCAGTGATCATACTCTTCAACAACTTGAAATGGGGCACGCGATGGGCAACCTACGCTATTTTCTATTTACATTGAATATATTTGTTGAGATTGACTAGAAGCAGCCATTGAAGTTAAGATATTAGAGCTGAAGTGGTATATAGAAGAACTTATATCCTGAACAGAGAAATGATTGAGATACCAAGGTAATCTTCAACCAACTATAATATGTTCTTATGGATACAAAGGACAACCACTTAGGCTCTGGTACCAATTGTGAATGCAAGGATCTGCGCGGACAAGGTTTGAGAACTCAAACCTTGAATTAACTTAAGATCAATGTCTGTTTGTAATAAATATCTGGTCAAATCTGGTAAACCAGTCTTGTCTCATAATAATGATAATCAACAAAGTGCTCAAATATAGAAAAGTAATAGGTATGAACAATATAAAATAATTCAAGAACAACAAGAATGTAAGAGAGAATGATTGACTGAACATCTCTCTCTTGATACAAGGAAGACATCTCCTTAATCAGTCAAGGAGTGACTAAAAGACAAATCTGATAAAGTGCGCATGGACTGCGAGACTTCTGAAGATCAACAGACTGACACAACCGTTGTTGTTGATCTTGTCTCTTGTACTATACTATAAAACAATAAGAACAACACAAAATAGTACTTGCAACAATAAATGCATTACAGACACAAAATGTTTCCAAACTAACACTCTATCTCGGACTGGTCTTCACTTCGGAACAATCTTCACTTCAAAATGCTTGCTACCTCGGAAGTCTTCATCTCGGATTGCATAAGGATCACTTCTTCATGTTCCAACATCAAATGAAGGAGATGTCAACGGAACAACCACCCATCATGACTTGTATGTTCTTACCGTTCTTACTGACGGTAACCCAAAACTGGAAGACTTCTTAGACGGCTGTGGCACCGCCGCTTCTACTAGATTTGGTCCCGACGTTTGTCATTTCCAAGATGAATCACAAACCTGTATGCAACCCCATGACACCATATCGATTTATGACTCCAAGTTAAAGACTATCGCCACTTGCTTCCTCTATGGGTTGTCCACCGACAACCATCAGCAGCAGCTTATGGTGGTTCCTACACATGTTATGATGATTCAGAGGATCATGATTGATAGATCGAATCTCCAAAAGCATAGAAAGAATCTGGAAGAAAAAATAGATAATATAAAAATCGATGATAAAAAATTAAAAGCACCTATCAATCGAATCGATCAAAGAGAAACCCAAAAATGATAAATTATGAGCCTCGATCTGCTTATTGGCAGCAACTATGTGAGGAGCAGAATGATGATCATAAACGGTTTTTTGTTGAGTCAGAGAGATGGATTTCTCTCCAAAACAAGATTCACAATCTCCATGTTCATCTTGTACTTTGCAACTACGACCCTGCCCCATGGTTTTAGGGTGTTATGAAGTTTTGATGGTTTACGCAGAAGAGCGACGGAAGTCCACCGGAATCATCTACTACCACCAAGAGAATGATTGTTGGTTGGGAATGGAGAAATGGTTAAATGGCTTCGTATTTAAGTGTGTGTATGTATGTGTAGTTTAAGTTACATATGAGGTGGGAAGAAGAAGATCAGGGGTGGAAGTAGGGGAGGTAAGGTGAGGATGGGGTTTTCTTTTCAGATGAGAGAGAGAGAGAGAGAGAGGTGGGCCTAATGGATTTTAATTTTTTTTCTTTTCTCTTCTAAAATAGATTTAAATAAAAAAAATCAAAAATATTTTAAAAATGATAAATCAATCTTTTTTTTTGGGTGAGGACTATTTGTTAAAAGTTTTGAAACTGTAAATTTTAAAACCGATCTATAAGATTTTTTTAATTTAATAACTATATTCCATATTTCTTTCTGAAAATTTTGTCTAAAATATATAAGGCCTTTAAACCAAATATCTAAAGACGTCTTGCTGTTTTATTTTGCCAAAGTCAAACATATTATTGTAATGTTATTCAGTGTACACCTATGATGAGATCATGTCAAGTATAATTCATTATTAAAATGTTTTAAAAGGTTGAAAGATTTTATTTGTAGATTAACTCCCAGAGTCAGGTTTGACTTTTTGACATAAAAGAACTTATAGAGGCCAATAATTGAACTTCACACATGCTGTAAAACATCAACAAGTAGTATTATAGTTCCCAAATTTGTTTTTTTTTTTTTTTTTTTTTTTTTTTGTTATAAACCCTACATACGTAAAATGTAAGACTTTTAATGCCGACAATTCAAAGTTTTGCTGATCCAAGTTCATGGAATATTCCTATTACCCTCAAATAATTCGCATTACAAAACTTATAATCACGTGTCAAAGTTTTCAACTATGCCATCCAATCATCCATAAAATATTATTGAAAGAGAAAAACACGTAAAAAGAAAGAAAGCAAAACTTGGGGAAAAAAATATTACTTTTTACTTTTTTATTTATCTGTTTTATTTTAAAATAATATCCGATAAGACCCACTCCAATGCTAACACTATAAATCACACCATTTTTTATGTAAAACTCCCATAAAAACCATTTTCAATTCCTATCACACACTAAAAATTAACACCAAAAACATATTTTAATATTATAATTATAAACGTAATGCTTTCTTATTATTAAAAAAAGATAAAAACGAATATATGTAATATTATAATATGATATATGTTTAGTTGTGATGAATAGTTCCATACAAATTTGTTGACTTAGGTCCCGTTTGATAGATATATTTCCAAGTCCAAACAGATCTTTCTGACTGAATGGACCGGAAAAACTATTTGATATGCAAAAAAAAAAAAAAAAATGGTCTTTCCCGGTAAGATATGTCTTTCCCAGAAAGCTCTAAAGTCATATCTTTCTGGCTGAATAAGCGGAAAGATAATTGTGCCATAAACTCCGTCTCTTTCTTTCTTGCATTATTAATATTTTATTAATTTCTTTTTTATTGAATTATTTTATATTAATAAATATTATTTTTAATATATAATATTTATATATTAATTATTATTATTTTATTGGATTTTTAATTTCTTTTAAATAATTTTTTTAATTTCTTTTTAATGGATTAATTTTTTTTATTGGATTATTATATATTAAAAATATTATTTATAAATATATAATATTTATATATTAATAAATATTACTTTATTGAATTATTAATTTCTTTTAATTAATTTTTTAATTCATTTTTATTGGATTAGTTCTTATTTTTTTTGGACAACACTATCATCATCCTAATATATTTTGGAAAAATTCATCAATCACACCACTATCGGACATAAACTGGTCAAGAATCACATGTTGAGTTATAAAAAAAAATTAAAATCGTTAGAAATAATAACGGCGTAAAATTAACTAGAAAAAAAAAACGAAAAACAACTTAATTGACATTCTATTTGGATTTTTAAATGATTATTGTGTAATTTTGATTTTGTATGACAATTTGTATGTTTTTATAATTATTCAGCAACATCATCCATCACAGTATAGAACATCAGGGTAATATTGTCATTTTTCATCATTCAGCATAGTCAATGAGATATACAATCAAACAACATGGTTTCTTTCCCATTCAGAAAACTTTCTCATACAGCACTTTCCCAAACAACCCTTTCCCGGACAGAAACTATCAAACGAGCCCTTACTGTAGCATTACACAAAAATGCAGTAAATATAGAGGTTCATCAAAGGAATATAGGTTTGCAAAACACAAATTTGCAGGTCACTGGAGTTGCTCTAAGGCTTAAATTATAACTTTCATGTTATTTGAGATACAGAAAATAAAAAAGCCACAATTTTAAATTAATCTTTTATATATATATATATATATATATATATATATATATATATATATATATATATATATATTATATATATATATATATATATATATACACACACACACCTTCATATGAGACAATTATTTTTTGTGTGACATTGGGACGCAATCCTAGCCATTCATTTTGCAGATAAAAAAAATATATCTTTTAAATGCAAAATTAATAAAAAATAATAATTTTTTTAAATATTATTTTCATCATTAAGATTATACAAAAAAAGAAATAAATAAAAAAATATAACGTTTTTTTAGAAATGTGCCTGAACTATTCTAATAGAATATTATATTGTACATATTTAAATCGAATTTTTACAATGTTAAAATATTCTAGTAGAATATTAAACTATAAATATTCAAACAGTTTTAATAAAATATTAAAATATTTTAATAAATATAACAAATCTTATAAATATTAAAATATTTAAATATATCTAACAATTTTAATAGAATATTAAAATATTCTGACATTCTAAATATTCTATTTGAATAATTACAATGTAATATTCTATTAAAATATTTCATGTATATTTAAAAAAAATATATTAATTTTTTTATTTTTTTTATTTTTTTGGAGAAATTAAATAACGAAAATAATATTAAATTGTTTTTCTTAGATTTTTCCTTTTATTTTTCATTTTACAATTTTTTTTTTAATTTTTTGATCTCTCGTGATTATGATTGCGTCTCATGTTTCACAAAATTAAAATGTTATCAAATATATATATATATATATATATATATATATATATATATATATATATATATACCAAAAATCATAAAAATGCATAAAAAAAATACCAAGACATTACAAAACTTTTTTTTGAATTTTTTATTAAAAAATCGCAGCATTTTTTACAATTTCGCTAAAAAAAAAATAAAAAATCAATTTTATTTTTTTTTTGTAAAACAAATTTTTTTCAGCAATTTTGACCTAAAAGTTGCCATTTTTTGATAAAAAAATTCAAAAAAAAGTTTTGTGATCTCTAAGTATTTTTTTATTAATTTTAATGATTCTTAAGGTTTTTTTTAGGGTTTTTTGTTTTCCATAGAACCTAAATCTATATATATATATATATATATATATATATATATATATAAAACCACAAATAAAAAATGGATTTTACAGGAAAAAAAAAAACAAAACAAACAGAATAACTTTTCGAGCGACGAAACACGAAAGATGTAAAGTTGTCTTTTCTTGAGCTTCATCCATGAGATAAAACACATACAGAATAATGTACAACTTTTTGCGCATAATTACAGAGTAGTCGAAATCTTCAGAATAAAAAAACAAAAATAAAAAAAGATTTACATAAACCAACATCCAACGAAACCCACAAATGTAAATTGTTACACATGTACGTCCTCCTTTTTTTATTTTCCTCTCATATACACTAACGCTAGATCACCACCACCGGTCCGGTCATAAACTTGAAGCAGACCAGAACTCCGGTCTAGTTATCTTAACGAGATCCAGCCCGGTCCAGACCGAATCAACCACAACAAACTTATAGTTAATTAGAGTCATATTCTCCTTGATCAGTGGTCACTTCATCTTCCTTCAAAGAAGCCAGAGAGTGCATCGACAGCTGAGTATGATACTGCTGCACCACCAACACAGACGCCGGAGACAACATCTCCGGCGAGATCAACAAATTCCCGACTGGTCCCATCTCCGGGCACTCACTCTTCTGCCTCATGGACGCCACCAGCTCACCCTCCGGCATCCTCCCACACAGAATCAGGTGACACCGGCTATGTTCACGAATCACCTCGATTGCCCCTGAAGCAGTTCCGACCACCCTCTCCTCATACTTAATGGTGGTGTTCTTCATAACCTTCTCCTTGAAATCCGCAATCACATCGTCATCCATTGATCGTGCCTCGATAGTGGTGGGTTCATCGATATCAACACCCACTGAGCCTGAATTGGCCATGTCACGATCCAGAATGAACCGGACCACTACCAGGTTGATCCCTGGGTGCTCCGCCATACGAGCTCCATAAGCTAAAGCTTCATGGTCATCATGACCTCCGAAGAACAAAACAGTCACTTGTGAGTCAACGTTACTTGCAGAAACATGTGAGTTCCCTCCAAACCCACGGTCAACCAAGATACTCACCGAACATGGTGCGTGCTCCAAAACCATCCGATTAACATGCCTGAAATTACAAAAAAATGAAAACGAAATTAAAAACTGTCAAAAAAACCATCGCTAATTGGATATGTATGTATGTAGTAAGACGAATTTAACTACCTGTATTCTGCGCGAGTTGTACCGAGTTGACCATCGATCCTCATGTGTTTATGAAAAGGTAGAACAATCATGGCTGCCTTCTTAGCCATTGCACCACTACAGATATCTTCATGCATGCTTGAAACAGCAGAAATGGCGGTTGTTGGTCGAATTGACACTTTACTGAGTTGCTGAAACGCTTCAAAAGCCACCACAATCTGGTCGGAATCAACATTTTGATCTTTCTTCCAGAACGGGAGTCCGTTTCTTCTGGCTTTGTGAACCATGAGGATAGCAGAAGATCGCTCTGTAAGCTCCATGAGATGCATCGCATGGACTGTAAGCGTCTCCTTCTTTCCAGTCCCACGTGTGGCTTCAATAAGATTGACAATTGTTGGTAGGTTTCTGATTCCATGGAATGTGAAGAACATACGGAATTGGCTCGAGGCAAATCCTTTCCTGTAAATTGTCCTCTGTTTGTATTCCGATT